CCCCTCCAAGAAAAAAAAATTAAATCCCCACACGCCAAGGCAGCCCCTTAATCTGAACATGTGCCCTCGTAAATCCGGACTACAGCACCAGATGTCGACATTCATTGCCAACATAATGCACGTTAAACATCTGTGGGCGAACCCCCAATGCTTAGAACTTGATATATTTTACTTAAGGCCCCGAGGCCCAGAACAATTTGTTATAATTTAATATATAAAATTGTACACACAATTAATATTAAAGTATCGCACATTCACGCATGAAAAATAACCACGCCAAGCAAAGTTACTCTTAATTTTACAGACATTTGCTTTTACGTTTCGCTAAATTGATACAAAGTACATGCTATTTCCAAAACGATTAGCGAGAAGTAAAGTGTGAGTAGTTGTCCTAGGGAAAAAAGGCGAGTGTTAAAAAAGCAACATAGGAAGATATTATGTTCCTCCAGCACGAATTAACACTTTATAGAGGTACCAAATTCTGAGTCTAGCACCTTTTAAAAAAAACAATTTTAAGAAATAATACAGGATTGTTTAAGAAGTTTGATCTCCAACTTAAATCCCATCCCCGATGAAAACAAGCTTTGGCAAACATGTCCAAGAAGACCTCGATGGTGATTTGAGCCAGGGTCGCCATACACTGACAGTCTAGCATGATGGCACGTAATGATGCAGAACTCCGGAGTGGGGAATGCAACGTTTGGAGTATTTACACGTAATATCCGTTTGAAAATGTTGGCTGTATTACACAAGGCTTGTTACCAAAGTCTTTTGCTTTAGCAAAGATATTACTATTCTTTCATTCTAAATGTCTTCAAAGGAGTAAAAACTTAGTTTCATGATGGGTTGTTTTTTTCCGCATCCGCCCCTCCCCCCCTTTTTTTTAACTCTTAAAAAGGGGGGGGGGGCACTACCAGTGACACAATTAAAATCATATAGAGGGCGAACTGCTTCGACTCTGGCCTGGCTGTCAGAGTTAATCTGAGCTGAGAGTTATACAAAGTTCCCGTTGACAGACGAATGTACGTAATTAGGGAAAAAAACACACACACGGGGATCGAACTCCCTTCTTCTGCATTCGATGGTGTAGCGCTTAAATGCTTCAGGAAAGAAGCCGGCCTGTAAGCTTGACTTACGTTATTTCTTACTTTTAAAAAAGCTAAACAAAAATAACTAGCAAGTGACAAACCAAGATCTAAAACAAGGCAATAAGAACCCAATTAGCAACTAGAAAAAAAGTCAAATCTAAATCTTGCGCACATTTAGCTACACGACAGCAGGCGTTGGAATATGTTTTAATAAAATCAGATTCGAAAATATGAACGGAGTTATTACGTTTGTCAACATTAATTTGTTGGGTCAAATACTTGCATACATATCAAGCAGCAGATGTGCACTCGAAGAAATTGCCTTTTCTTTCTATGTCAATGATTAAAATCATTGTAAATTAAATGTTGTACAGCCCCGATAGTTGGTCATTTAGAAGGCAAACTGCTTCGATCATGTCTGGAAGGACCAGCCAGGATGAGTAGGATACTTTATCAAAGAACAAGACTGAGATTTCCTTAAAAGAAAACAGAATTTTCTGCATGAGCATCGAGCTCACGTCTTTTTGCGTGCAATGGCGAGGAGCCTGGCTGAAGCCGATCTTTCTATAATTAATTTTATTATCTCATGCATGTAACAGTTAGTTAGTTGGGTATCTTGTTCGTTCGTTCTTTCGTTTGTTCGTAAAGCTTTGCTTTCTTTTCTGCGTTGCTGTCAACCTGCCACTGTTAACCAAATTGGCTAAATGTGAACAAATTGTTGGGGGTTTTTTCCGCCAAGTGCCTTATCACATTCAGTGTCGTTTTTCTTCAATACTCTAACAAAGCACAACTTCTGATTTTCAGAAACTCGCAGTCTATATTAAATTGTTCCTACTATAAGGCTTACGTTAGAAGATTCTGATTTTATTTAAAACACGACTTACTCTTCCTTAGTTTCTCTTTACAGCTATCTTATGCGTCCACAAATAACTATCAGTTCTAAGGAGTGCTATTTCAAGTCTACAGCAACGCTTCTAACACTTTTTGTTACATGATTTTATCACTTCAAACTAGAATTTCTGAACACACAGTGTTGGCGTACTACAGTATGTATTGAAAGAGCTAATATCATGGTGAAGTTCCTTCAATCTTCACGTCCTCTAGTGGACAGCAGTTGACTAGGTCGGTGAGTATGAAAAAAACATGGAAACAGAAAGCTCAGGCTGCTTCTCATTCAGTAAACAAGACTGCTCCCAGGTCACATCTGTGTTTGTGTGACGTTTGTTGTCCGTATTACTATCAGTGACCCAGGGGAGAATCAATAATTGTGGCTATACTGCTGTCACCGATTTGCTTTCGGGCGGAGACTGGGTGACTCGGGGAAGGATCTACAAGTTGAATTTAGAAATAATATAATGAAGGATAGGTCAAAGCAGATTTTGTCACGATATATTGTTAAAAGGTTGTGATTTGTAGAAAAATACATGTCATTTGTTTCTCTGAAATGAACACCCAACTGGACTCAGATTAAATCGAACAGATAAATGAGTCCCCATATACAAGGTGAAATGAGAAGGCAGATCAGAAGTAAGTAGGCTTAATCAAGAGCGTCACATGAATCGGTCCACGTTTTGGAAATAACAATACAGACTTTCTATTGTAACTAAGCTCCCAAAACAATTGTAGACAAGCAAACGTGCTTGAGACACATCTGGCTGTAATAGTATACCCTACATTACATTGGAAGTTCTGTTCAGTGAGTTGTCTGGGGTCATTTCCACAAGATGTATTACAAGTCTAGTGGTGCATTCAACTTCAAAGAAGCAAAGCATTTAACTAGAGAGAGAGAGAGAGAGAGAGAGAGAGAGAGAGAGAGAGAGAGAGAGAGAGAGAGAGAGAGAGAGAGAGAGAGAGAGAGAGAGAG